TATGCTCGTGACGCTGCTGATGAGACCTTCAATTTGCGCCGCTTCTTGGAAGAGCCCGCCCCCTACTTCCCAAGAAATCGCAAGAGGCGTCTGGACCCGAATTTTCATTTTTTTGGCTCTCGCGCTCAATTTCATGCTTCGCTCGCAGTTTCACCAATATGTTGTTACTGTTGTACTACTGCTATCGCTCGCTCTCAACTTTACACCAGGTATGTGAACAGGCACACCACCGCGAGAGAACAGGCAGCAGTCAGCTAGTCATCGGTAGGCCACAGCAGCCGTTGTTGTAAAGTACAAGACCTTTCGAAGGAGCTTTAGACTAGTCCATCTCCCAGACTGACGTCGTTTGCGCAGTAGGTAGTCTCAGGGAGTGAGGAGAGAAAAAACGTCAGGCAAGCACAACCGAGATAGAGGGTATATATATGGCTTAGGAGTACGGGCGGGCGCGGCTGACAAGGAAACAAGAGAATACCGCGTATCAACTCAGCTTGTTGGTTGCCGGCCACACTTCTACCACAAAGATTGTGAAGAACTACTGTAGCGAGAGGACCACCAATTTCAACATTTCAGACGTGAACGCGTGCCAACGACGAGGTATCGTTGGACAGCTATTCTACATGACCAGGACACAAAACACGCACGCGCGTAAGCAAATACTACTGTAGGTTATGTCTACTCTGTGGTCCGGGCAATCGCGGACGGAAAAGCCATTCAACCAAACCGTTCAGGACTCAATCACAGCAGTAGTACCATCTCGTCCCGACTGATGGAAGGAACAAAATTGGAACCAGACAGGACGTTCCATCACGCAAACACGGCAACCGGAATAACCAAGCGACGCACACGGCGCGCGACTTCCCTTGACAAAATGAGTCGCCAAAAATCAGAGGGAAACGAAGCAGACGGGCTGGAGAAAGAAAGTGCAAGGAGGCCGAGAAAAGCTACCTGATGCTTGTCTACCTCCACGGCCTTCAACTACGTAGGTGAGGGATGGCACGTCCTGGAGGCGCCATTCCACACGACGACTGCCCAATGCATAGCCGCACCGAGCTATTGCAACTCGTCTGTTTACGCATCGCCTGTTCGACGCTCAAGGAAGGCGGCCTCGCTACTACAACACCCATTCCTTGCCCGCTGCGCCACTCAGCACCCCCACCCGATTTAAGTGCAAGCACCTCACAGGTAGGCGAAACAGGCGATCCAGTAGGCGTTGTTTTTCAGATCTTCGTCGTCATCGTTACCCTCAGCAGAGCCTTCGAGCTGCAGCACCACTGATGCTATGCCCAGGGGAACCTTTGTGATCCACTTGAGGCTGGCAGCAACAATTACCACCGTGACCTTGGTGAAAGGATCGGCTGCCGATTTTACAATCTGCTTCCCGAACGCCGTGGCTATCTGACTGGCTCCCTTGAAGATCCCGTGAGAACCTGTGGAGAAGGGTGTTGTTGGGTCTCAGAGCTGATATCATCTGACTACTGTTCATTTCTGCATTTCTGCATTTCGCCTTCGTGTGTGGCGGTACACCCTAATATGATCTGTCGAATCATTCAGAAGCATCCAGCTACAGTACGTTGGCTTGATGGCCGGATCCCTGGTCAGAGTACAGACATTTCTCATCAAGTCGTCACCAGCCCCATCGACTCGAGTAGTTGGCTCCTTCAGGACAGCACCTCCGTCACTCCTACGTCGCAACCACGTATCACAGAGTGGTAGACTGCACACATCACCTTGAAACTTCATCGTTCTTTCCTGGCGGCCGCCCTCGTCCAGCTCCTTTGCAAGCGCGATCAACCTGCTCCCCCTCGCGATCTCAGCGACACCGTCGGCCATGTCGAAAATAATCGCCGGGACAGTTCTGGAGGGGAAGGGTGAAGGCAAAGGGAATCCAAGGCACGGGAACCGTTGGTCTGTTAGGACATGCACGCTTGGGAAGGGAAGGGAAGCTCGTGTAGTAAGCGTTCGGCTGACCGCTCAATACCATGCCAGAAATGAAACCAGTACGGCAGGGTGCGACTGTGACGACGCGAATACCGGGACAAGTTTTTTGGTCCGTTCATGCTGGTTCTCTAGAAACGTTCATTCCTACAGGTTCGTGTGCGATCGATACTCTCAACGTTCACTCAGCTATGACAGGAGAGAGTGAGTCTGGCCGATGCCGTCCATCTGTAGAAATATAATTCTGTCAAGCCGGCTTGTTTCGACAGTGAACCAAAAAATCTCAACCACAAGAAAATAACTCGTCTCGCCCGCTTGCTTACGCGTTCTTTGGCGCTTGCCCCCCCCCCGTTGTGTCCATGTTGGCCAACCCCCCTGCTCCTGGCTCAGACGCCTGCCCTCCGTCCACATTCAGGCTGATTAATACCCCGGCCGCGTCAAACATTGTCAGGAAAGAGAAGAATGCTTTGTCCTTCCTGCAGGGTTAATAACAACAGGGAAGAGGGTTTTCTCGAGCTCAGCTTCTAGAAGAACGTCTCCGCTGTTATCAGCATGCTCAACACCAACTACAGCATACGACGTGAGGCTTACCTTAATATGCAGCATTTCGAGCAACGTAACGACGAGTTTCGAACACTGAAGACCCGTAGTATGAGGAAATTGCTGGGCAAGAGTTGAACGGTGTTCGATCCCTCCCTGGATTACGAACCATGTCAAGTCCTCGACGCGAGCCGGGGAGAGAGATCATGGACAGCCACACCCGAACGGAAAACAGTTGTCTTACCTCTTCAGCGGCGTTTTCGGGCCGGTGAAATAGTCGCCAACATACACCATGGTCGATGCGAGGTTCAAGATCTTCTGGATTGCCCTGCCGTAGCTGATTATCTTCAAGATGGGGTGCGACTTTGCGAAGCGCTTGGTCAAGAATTTACGGTCCCCCGCGGGAATCTTGGTGATGGTGACCATTGCTGCGATACGAAGCGGCAGTGAACGCCCCCCAACACCGTAGCAAGACGATTCAGCACGAAAGCGTCAGCGGCATCCACTCACACCCAGAACTACAGCGAGCCACTCCTCAGATAACCCTCTTCAGAACCAGCATACGTCTTAGCGGAACATGTCGTTGCTACATCTAGCTCACAAAAGATACAAGACGACGAAAAATGTTGCTGCCTGATACGATCAAGAACGACGAGTCGGGAAACGTTCCATCACCTTGGCAAGGTATCGTGACGCCGGACATGGCGATGGAGGCAATCTTCAGAACGGCCCAAATGCTTTTCTGGAAATCAGTCCCAGGCTTCTCTTCGGATTCCCCCGACCTTGATGTGTAGACGAACTCGCTGCAAGTGCCGCGCGGACAAGGAAGCAGCCTATTCAGGCAGTTCATATTCTGAGGGGACTGCTTGGGGTGAAAAGTGATGCCAACAATACCATGTCCGTTGCTTGTTGCCCCAAAGGCGTGGGCAAATATTCATCGCCAGATTTCCTTCACCGGCAGGGACTGGTCAACAAGTGGCACAGAAATCCTCTCATCACTCGACCCGGTGTCCTTTTAGTCACGGGGCAGCAATGAAACAAAACCCTCCAGGCAAGCACGGTTACCTGCTGCTGTCATCACCAGGAAGGCTCCTCGTCAGATGCGCTGGAGCATCTGTCACGAGAAGGATTGAGGTGCGTGGGAGTTGTCGAAAGCTTAGCGCCGCACGTGCGGTACAACACAATATGCACGGAAGACGATAGCAGGGAAGGTTGAAAAAAACTCGCAAGTGGTCGAATCAGCGACAGTTGTTCCGATGTGTACCGAACGTCAAGTCTTTCCTTCCTTCACGAAGACAACGTGTAACTATTGGCTGCTCGCAGATCGACACCAGCTCGTTTCCGTCTGACCTGCGTCGGTAGAGTTGGGCTCCTGGCAAGCGATCGACAAGGTGCTGTCTTTGGCGCCGGTCAATTGGTCGACCGAGACCACTTGCGATGGCCAGCGTCCTAGAATTGCCTTGGTCATGTATGTTACGGGAATCGCAAATATGAAGAACAACGCCTTGGCGAGCTTGAGTTTGCGCCCCGTGATGAGCTTGTAGATCTCGCTGATGACCGGGATGTATATTGGCCCCCCGTCGGCGAGCCAGTCGCGGAACTTCTTCGCTACGAACTTGAGGATCTTTACCATTAACTGTGTGCCGCCCTGTGCGACGTCCGAAACAAACATCGACACGTGCAATGATTTCCTGTAGCGGCGGCAACACAAGGGTTTCCTGCACAAGGGACCATTGCCAGCCAAAACAAAGGAAGCGCACGACATAGGCCCCTCTCTCCTCCTACTGCTTGCTCCCACGCAATCAATCCCGTAGCGACGCGCACATAGATAGGAACTCCCTCCACTGCTTACAGGTCTAGCACGAGGCGCAGGGACTCCGAAGGTTGCCATCACCCACCCCCTCTCCCCGAGAATATCCAACGTACCTCCAGCAGATCGACGATGCCTTCAGCCAGCGCGGACATAAAGGCGTTCAAACCCTCTTTGAGTTTCTCGTACAAGAAGTTGAGCTTCTGCGCCACGGTATCCATGCCCGGGTCGTCATCATCGCTGTCTTCCGATGATTTTCCCTTGTCTTTCGAGTCATCTGCTCGACACAGGCGTGTACAATGGGGTGGAGGTTGCGGCATGGTTGACCACTCTAGGGTAGACTGACGTTCGACGTTGAGAGTGTAACTCAAGGGTACTTGGTCAAATGGGGCTGCGAGCAGCACACAATGTAGACCCAATCAATACGCACGACGGAATATCCAGCCAAAAAGCGCACACTGACTGACTGTCAACATGGGAGACCTCCAAGCCACGTCAGGAAGCATTCCTGTTTCGCAAGGTTTGGTGGTCTCTTGCCCGCAACGTCGGTGAGCAATCACGAGATGGATCCCGTCGTCCACCCACCCTTTGTATCCGTGGGGGTCCCCGCGTCGTCGAAGGTGCCGCACGTGGTGTGGTGCTGAATGAAATTTTCCTTGGGATCCACCTCGCGGTCGTCCGGCGTCGTGTCCTCCGTGCTCATGTCCTGGGCGTCGAGGTCAAGACCGCTGCAGGATAGCCACGACAGTAAGCGGTGTTGCCAGAAAACGTAAGGAACGGAACAAGCCAATAATGCATTATCCGGGCCGCTGTGAACTACGGCGACTCCTCACAGAAATGTAAGCAGTCCCAAAGCTCAGGTTTGCTCTGCGTCGCGCTGGGTTCAGGTTTCTGGTTTAGGGATGGCGCATGGGATTTTCACTGATGGCGCTGAAACATAGAACCAATCCTCCGAGGATCGAGCCGAGGTGATCCATAAGAAGCAAAAACGGTATGAGTATGGGGAGATGATGCACAGGTTCATGGACGATGTGATCCCCGCGTGAGAACTGCGGTGCGGCCTCGACAGCCTTCTTTGCTTAACACAGCACACAGCATAAGTACCGTCTCATGGTTGCAAAACAAGTATTGATGGCGGGAGGGGCTCGCTCACGTCTTCCTCTCCAACATGAGACGAAGGTCGTTGAAGAACTCCTTGACGGCTTCCTCAGAGGGAATCGTGGCGATGAATTGGTCGATCCCATAAATCGCCCCGGCTTCCAGTATCTCGGCGGTCTTCAAAATCTCTTTGTACTTGAAGAAACTGGCGAGCCATTCGATGGCCTTCATGATACCCGTCTGTTCGTTCGCCACGGGAAAGTCCAGACACGGGACGGTTGGCTGTGTTCAACTCAGTTGTGTTGGGCAGCGGCTGTTGGAGCTTTTTTTCCGGCGGAACGAACATGTCATGTGTTTCGATTGGTTGTGCTCCACTTCGTCGTGAAACTCAGCCCACTCGCCATCGGGAGGTGTTACGGCACTGTCTGGTTACGAGTGCATCTACGGTACGCATGAGGTGTCTAGGGAGTCGACCTGGACTACAATGCCAGCCCCCAAGGCCGCTTGACTGCCGACCTGGACTACAAATTCTTCCAGTCCCCAAGGCCGCTTCACCCACGTGCATACACCTTGCACTCCTGCCTAAAGACATGGTCCATGCGATGGAGTACAGCATTTCGTTTTGCGCCACCTCTGCCTCGACCCGTACTCGTCCAGACCTTGATTTTATCCCACAGCCAGTCGAGTGCCTTGACGAGCTGCTCGAGCTTGGTTTCAACGAAGTGATACACCACCTTGCCGATCTTCACCACAAAGTCCACTCCCTTCTTGACAACTTTCTGGGAGGGTTGGCACAGAGCAAGAAGCGCAGGAGTAGGGAAATGGGACCGTTCGCAGTCAGTTGCATGTGTTCTGTTGATGGGTTGCACTGATCAAGGTCTTTTATCTTGGCCTTCGAGCACATTAGAATCACTTTCTTTCACTCATCCGCCTTCCTCGAATCCTGAAAGACTCGATACACGGGGATGAGTGTTCAATCGTTCATGATATGTACATATGCCGAGTCATACTGAATGACGTCCGAATTGGACCATCATCATACACAGAAACTTCAAATGAGTTTGTAGAAGAGTATCGCCTAGAAAAAAGGAGAGTTGTCGTTGTCGAAATGGAACACATTTTCAATGCCACGAGGAGCTAGCTCACCGCTACTTTCCTGGCCACCTTCTTCAGCCCCTCCGGAGTGTGCTCCCACACCTGAGTACCCAAAAGAAGAAGATTCGATGGGACGTGAGTCGGCGGGGGGACCACATCGTTGATCACAATGATACAACCAACCGACGTCATTCAGGCTTCGAACGAACACGAGCTGGCAAGCAGCAGGGCCAACACGGTCATGGTGGGACAGAACACAAAACGTCGACATCCGAGAGCGACAACTGTCACCAGCCTAATCTTCACAACTACGTCGACTTGAGGGAAGGCGCTGGTGCCGTGCACCAAACCAAACCATTTGCAACATCGTGGCTCTCCAATATCCACTATGATAGCGTATCCCGTGGATGAGGCCGTCTGCTGCGCATAGGATTTACCTCTCATTTTGACTGGATCTCACCTCCTCGACCACCTCTTCCACCACGTCGACCATCTTCATGGTAACATCGCCCACTACCTCGGCAGCGTCCTTGGCGACGTCCTTGACCTTTACCATTGGATAGCAAAAACCGGGTTCGGAATCGTAAATTTCTGCGTTAGGATCTGCAATCACGCGCGCGTCGCCAAGCAGGGAAACTTCTGCGGCATATTCCGGAAATGAACGCATGCCTAACGAACGAAGTAAGCGGTTCGGACGTCCGAATGTACACTCGCAGAACCTGCCCTAGTTGGGAGTCGTATTTCTCGGCGAGGCAAGACTTGTCACAACTACCGGCCCCTTGCTCTGATGACGGGTTGTTTAAACTTTACCCACTTGATCTACGCTGTCTAGGCTTCCCGATGGCGCACAAGAAAGGTGAACAGGCGTAAAACAGCACAGCGTTTCGCACCTTGTCGGCAGCGTGCACGACCCCGTCCTTCACTTTATCCGCCACATCCTCGACGCCGTCCTTTATGTCACCCGCCACATCTCCCACCTCGTTCACAGCTTTCTCTGCCAGCTTTGCCGCACCTTCCGCGGCCTGCTTCGCCCCAGCCGCCGCTATCTGCGCCTTGTCTACAACCTGCCGGGGGACAAATGTATGGAAGTAGACCACCATGAACAGAAATATCTGCCTGCTTCCTTTCGGGGCGGAAAGACTCTCTCCGCGCTTATCATGACAAACAACACGGCGAGGGGGGAGAACAGGGGGTGCATCTCGCCGTAGAATAAACTGATATGCCCGTCCTCTACTTTGGCAACTCCAAAACATCGATCAAATCGGCTCCGTTCACCGGTTTTCGGGGATGCCGTGTCACGTGCGTATGACCCACTGTTTTACAGCTCCCTCAAGTTTATGTATTACAGTACTTGACCCCGTTGTACATATAAGCAGCATGCCGATTGTCTCTCTCACCTCTTTCGCCACAAGCTCCCCCGCCTTCTTTATGTCTTTGGCGGCTTGATCCACGGCCTTGGCAGCCTTCTCCGCTTCCCTCTTGGCCTTGAGGGCCNCGTTTCGCACCTTGTCGGCAGCGTGCACGACCCCGTCCTTCACTTTATCCGCCACATCCTCGACGCCGTCCTTTATGTCACCCGCCACATCTCCCACCTCGTTCACAGCTTTCTCTGCCAGCTTTGCCGCACCTTCCGCGGCCTGCTTCGCCCCAGCCGCCGCTATCTGCGCCTTGTCTACAACCTGCCGGGGGACAAATGTATGGAAGTAGACCACCATGAACAGAAATATCTGCCTGCTTCCTTTCGGGGCGGAAAGACTCTCTCCGCGCTTATCATGACAAACAACACGGCGAGGGGGGAGAACAGGGGGTGCATCTCGCCGTAGAATAAACTGATATGCCCGTCCTCTACTTTGGCAACTCCAAAACATCGATCAAATCGGCTCCGTTCACCGGTTTTCGGGGATGCCGTGTCACGTGCGTATGACCCACTGTTTTACAGCTCCCTCAAGTTTATGTATTACAGTACTTGACCCCGTTGTACATATAAGCAGCATGCCGATTGTCTCTCTCACCTCTTTCGCCACAAGCTCCCCCGCCTTCTTTATGTCTTTGGCGGCTTGATCCACGGCCTTGGCAGCCTTCTCCGCTTCCCTCTTGGCCTTGAGGGCCGCTGCTTCTGCTTTGCGCGCTGCATCCTTGGCGATTCTCTCTGCCTCCCGCTTCGCCTGCGGTAGTGCCAATCAAAACCCGTCCACAATGATCATTATCGCTACTCCAAGTACTCTCTCATCCAATCACATTTATATAGTTACGCATCTCCTTTGCCCGACATGTCACCAGCGACGTCTGAGTGCCGGCTAGATGGGGCAATATATATCATTTTGGTTTGGTTTGTGCGCTCTGTTCGCGTTCGTGGTGATGCTGCTTTTCTTACCTGCACAATTAACGGGAAATCGGATGGTGACCACGGAAGACGTCCGCGCCCGTTAGACTGGTAGATGTCTCAAGGTACCCCGGAGAGAGCGAAACGACTTTCATCCTTGAAAGCAACAGCCGCAAACATCTGCTGTGCAGAAACACCTAATGGACAAATGACCTCGCCTGTTTAGCTGCCTCCTCGGCCTTTCGGGCGGCGGTCTGAGCCGCCTCCTTCGTCTTTTTCGCCGCGTTCTGGACGCCGGATTTGATCTTCTTGGTTGCTTTCTTGATCCGGCTGCCAAACTTTCTGCTGGTATACTCTGTCAACCTGTCGAGGGCCAGCACATGGCGTTCGATCAACACAGGCCACCACAACCAATTACAGAAACGCTCGGGGAAAGAAAACTGGGTGTGGCTGTCCTTCGATCTTTCGAAAGAACGCAGGATCTCATCTGACGACGCTTCGGCTGGGTGGGGGGGCATCTCACCCGTAGGCGCCGTCATCTCCGTCAATGTCGTCCTCTCCCACGTCTTCTTCGGAATCTAGCGCTTCTGCGGCCTCCACCTCCTCGACTGCTTGGAGTTCGAAGGCCGCCGTTTGGGCTGCCTTCACAAGCCGGGCGGCCTCCATGGCCGTTTTCGCGGCTTCCTGCCTGACTGCCTCCCACCTTGGCTCCTTAAGGCACTCAGCTGTAGTGTCAGTGATTGGCCGTCTGGTCGGTATCCCAGCCTCCATGGTCTCAGAGCCAAACAGCCCACTGTTTGTGTACCCGGGCGGCCTGAGAGCATCGCCAACAACATCATTCGCGGTCCGTCGGGTGAACACGTTGCGTTCTACAATTCGCAACGGTGAATGGTATCTATGTTTATCCATTGAACAACCTCTGGTGATACGGCCTTGTTTGGCAACCAATACTATCATGCAAACGAGACCAGGGCCTGAAAAGATGTTTCGTTAAGATTCTGGGTTTGCACACCAACGCACCCGCGCGGAGAAAAGCGGACAGTCTCACGGATGTGGTGGAGAACTGCCCGAACGTCGCTTTAACACCGCAGGATACCGACCAAAACTACCGCTCATATACTCCAGGCCCCATACGATCCACGAGGCGTTGCCTTGACGGCGGAACGGACAAACAATCACGACAATCACGTTTGGACGCTTCACCAGGCGAGTCGAAATCACAAGGACAACACATAATTGCGTGACAAATAGTCTCACGGTAAACGAGTCGTCAAACGCGACCGGTGCCAAGACCAAATGTGTAGTCCTACCTTCTGTTGATGAGGCCATATTTATATTCGCGTGCTTCTGGTGTGTAGCCAACGAAACCATCCAAGTTCCCCTTAAGCAGCATCACATTCACTCACCCATGTGCAGCCTGCGCAGCTTCTTTCTCAGCCTCCCGCTTGGCTTCGTCTGCCAACTCCCGAAGTTCGTTGGCGATGGAATCAAAGAAACCCTTGTTGGAGGACTCCGCCGACCTGTCAGGAATATCACAAGTTGACCAGGGCATATGGCGCACGAATGGAAAAATAGTGAGTTATCAGACGAGCTACTGTAGCAAAGAAGGACCGCGGACATGGCGGGGTAACGCACGCCATCTCGCGAGTTCAGCCAACCGTTGGATTGTCGCCGTAGTGCTCACCCAAAGTCCCGGGGGTTCCTGTCGTCAGGATCACCTCCTTTGCGCTCTGGCTCTCCCGTGTCCTCGCCCAGGGCTTCTTTCGCTTGTTCCGCTCTCTCCATCGCTTGGGCCGCAGTTTCCACAGCCTGTCCTGCAGCTTCCACGGCTTTAAGCACATCAGAGTGTGCGGGAGTGCTCACAGCCGGTTGCCTGTAACGAGCAGCAATAGCCGGCGAGCGGCCATGATAGCCTGGCGAGCGGCCAGACCAAGCCGGCGACTGTCCGTGCCCTGCACGTACTGGCAGGTGTGACGAGCCACGCCCAGGGCGTGCTCCCACCCGCTTGGCCTCGGCCGCCAGCCACAGCTTCTTCGTCACGGGGCCAAAGAAACGGTCTCTGGAGTACTCGGCCGATCTGGTCAGGTGAAGCACACGAATAACACCATCAACAAACACGACGCAAGCACGACAATTAGTCGGTACAAGCGCTGAAGAGGCCTAGATGCTTTGAACTGCGATCGCCCCGCAACCCTACAACTCAATCACGCACCATTCCTCTCTGCAACATACATCGACTTATGGGAAGGCGGGCTATTACCATTCTACTGTACCACTCACAGGTACCCGCCAGCTTCGAAATCGCCAAGGTCGACCAGTTGACCGTCCGAGCCATGCAACTTCTTCATGGCCTTGGCCTGCTCCGATTTCTGTTGCGCAACTCCGGCCGCCTCTACCGCTCGTGCCGCTGCTTCCATCGCCCTCGCCGCTTCCTCGTCCGGACCTTCCACTCCAAGGATAATGTCCACCTGTGACTCTTGCGAAGCTTTCCTCGCCCCAAATGTTTGTGCAGCTTTCATCTCTCCGATGTCTTGAGAGGCTTTCATCTCCACCTCCTCGGATGCTTTGACCGCCGCCTCCGCCGCTTCGACTGCGGCTTGCGTCCAACGAACCGCTTCCGCCGCCTGCTTCGCCTCCCCCGCCCACTTCGTCGCCTCGGCAGCGTACTCCGTGGCCTGCTCTTGAGCGCGCTCAGCGTTGCTCAGCTTGGCGCTGGAATGTTGTCGTGTAGAGGTCCAACGATATCGTTTTCCTTAGACAACGCTCTCCCTCTCTGTTATAGGAAGACACAGTTGTTGCTATCATAGCTCCAACTCCGACACTAGTGCGGCGTGTAGGGGATGGAGATGTGCAGGGCGATACAGCGACGTATATCCCACGCTCCCGCAACATGCGCTCGGCAGGACCAAGGACCAACAACCGATGTCTTGTGTCGGGATATCGTAGCCAGAGACGTTCACCGTGAGCGCCATAGGAGAACTACACCACGGTGCATTTTAATTGCGTACCGACGAGAGAGGCCGTCAAGGAAAATACGAACCGAAGTGTGGGTACACGATTTCACGGCACAAAGTGCATAAGTGGTTCATCAACACTTGAGTGATTCTGATAATCCTTCATGCTCTTACTTGAGAGCCTCGGCCGCGTGCTTCTTCGTCTCGTAAATGGCCTCATCGGCGTTTTCTCTGGCCTTCTTGGCGAGGTTTCCCATGTTCTGAGGGGAAAGAAACGATTGAGAGGAGAGATCCAACGACGATAAAGAGACACCCAAGGGTCAAAACTTAGTGCGGGGACACACGGGACGTGAGCTTGAAGCCGCCTGGTGAGCAGATATCGAACGGGTTTGAACGCACAAAGTCAACCAACGCCATACGACTGTCGTCATACGCAAGGCGCATTATAGGACCGTGTGGCGTATCTCCGTTAAGGAAAGGAAGCAATCGAGAATGCGACTCTAAAGGCACACAGGCGAGACAAACAGAGGCAAGCACTGCCAAGACAAAAGAGTACCGCGCATGGAGTGAAATATCTGCCACGTACCCGGCATTCAACCCGGCGCACACGCTCGACGCCCAGGTGCCCCATGCCGAACGGGTCAGGAGCGCAACGGTGTTTGGTGAAACGCCTGACCACCGGTCCGCGCCCATGTAATGCGGAATCGCCTCGGAAGACCGAAGTGCGCCTCTGCGGGGTGGCCATCTTAGGGTGGGGTAGGGACGGAG